AGGCGGAAGTTGCAGGTTGGAGTAAAGGGGTGAGATTGGGAGAGGCGGAGGTTGGTCGTGACTTTAATTTGTGATGGCGGAGGAAGGTCATGGCTGCAATTCGTGATGGCGGAGGAAGATCATGGCTGCATTTGTTGCCTCTTGGTTGCAGGAAGTTAGAGAAAGAAAGAAGCAGAGTGGATGGGAATCGCAGAGATTTTAGAGAGAGAGAGGGAGTAGCAAGCTAGAACTGGCCGGGAACCGCTAGAACCGGGCGGGAACCGGCGGTTCTGCTCTAGAACCGAGCGGTTCCTGATTTTGTACAAGAACCGACACGGTCTGTGCCGATTCCCGAGTCGAACCGGATGGTTCGACCCGTCGCTTTTTTTAAACACTGGGTACGACACTGACTGTATATCGCGACCCTACCAACACGACCCTAGCTCCTTACCTCAAGTTTGGTTTGGGTGAGTCAGTGCTACTAACTTATTAAGAACTCAAAATCCATGTTTTGCATTGTGAATATTTTCGATGATTATCATATGAACTCCAAAATTTCATAGACAAGTAGGTTTTTATCCAATGGAGTAAATGCACAATGTACTCCCACAAGAGTTGCTAGGCACTCTCTCTTTCACATTAAGTTATTAGGCACTCTCTCTTTCACATTAAGTTATGCAAGTCTCCAAAGTACTTAGCACCGGGTTTTTCGATTCTACGATCCAACTAACAAGGGTCCGTTTAGATACCTGGAAATATATTATTGGTGTAATACATTATTTGTAAATGGATTGTCACTGTTTGGGTGGTATTTAGATGCAACTTGATAAAATACATTTCTACTGTTTTGTTATGTCTGAAAGAATATAACTTGAGAAAATACATTGCTACTGTTTGGAAATACATTGCTACTGTTTGGTTATGTTTAGAAAAAATATGAGAAATGCATTACCATCTAGATATGAAAAATTTGGCTATGTTTGGCTAACATGATTAGACATTGGTTTCAACATGATAAGTTATTGGAATAACATGATTTCATTATGATAAACTTTATTTTTATTTGTGTGAAATTTTTATTATGATTGTTTTGTGTAATTTCTTATCGATTACCAATTACTATTATTATTGTTTTTGTTTTTATATGCTGCTAAAATGAGGGCTACAAACCAAATTGGGGATAAATGGATGTAGAATTTATTATTATTATTTTTGTTTTTATAGGCGTCTGATGGAGGCCTATAAACCAAATTGGGGATATAGGGATGTATAAATTTTTTTATTATGATTGCACTAGAAAATTGTCTTCTTCAAATCAATTTAGATTTTCCACTACTTTCACTTACTCATTATTAAATATTTTTATTTTTATATGAGAGTCAGATGAGGACTATAACCCAAATTAGGATAAAGGGATGTAGAAATTTTTTATTACGTAGAAATTTGTTCTTGTACACCTGTTCAAGTCAATTTAGATTCGTCTTTTCATATCCTTTACTTTCACTTTCTATTTACCATAATAATTATGCAATAACTTGAGAGAGGGAAATGTGTTTTTAAGTGGAGATAGAGCAGAGAGACGCATGCGAAACATTTCCAAAAATTATCCGTCAAGCACGTGATAGATTTTTCACCCGTTACCCCCCACAGATTTCGTGATTTTTTGGAAAATCTTGAGTAATATCGGATAACGTCTTTTCATTTTCTTATTATTAAAGTGTACCCAAACAATATAAATATCATATTTCCTTGTAATCTATTGTAAGGTAATAGATTTCTAAATAATCTATGGGAAAAAGTTTATATAAAGATACAACCAAACTACGGATGTACCTCAAAAATCCATCGGAAAAGATAGTTTTAAGGTTGAAAAACCCTTTGATTGATCAACTTGATATCGAGATGTATGACCATAAAAAATAAAAAGATTTTAAGCCTTAGAAATAGTGCATTTTACAACATATTATCTACACCGTCCATTTTCAAGATTTTCATATTTTTATAGATCTATTTGATTTTAACTATTTTTGAAATTTAACATTTTATAATTAGATATAAAAATAGACTTTGAGATAAGCCTAAAAACATTTTACATCAAAATTATAATACCATGATAAAATTTGAAATTGCACCTTACCTCTAGATATGCCAACTGCACCCATCAGTAAATTAAGCATGACTGGAAATTTTCCTCTAACATTATGGATTCAAAGTCTTTACCTATCCTTAATATAATAGACGATTAAATTTCTATGGGGTTGATCCTTTGGTCTACTTCTAAAATAGCATGCATTCCAATTATATGCCTACCCATTGAATAAGTTATGATTAAATCTTTCTTTTAAGGGCCTAAAATGTAGGATAATTGCATTTTGTGGGGCGAAGCTTTGAACTCCCCCTCTTGACAAAATGTTGTTAGCAGATACTATAGTTTTGATAAGTGAGACTCGAAAATGCCTCTTGACAAAATGTTGTTAGCAGATACTATAGTTTTGATAAGTGAGACTCGAAAATGCCGTCAATACAAGGTTAGAACTTTGGAGAGATGTTCTAGAATCGAAAAATTTTAAAATTAGCCGAACTAAGACAGAGCATATAGAATACAAATTTAATAATTATAGGAGGAGAAATAAAGAAGTAGTTAATGACCGATGGTCAAGAAATACCAAAAAAATGTACTTTCTATGTCTTGGGTCGATAATCTAGAAAAATTGAGAGATCAATGAATATGTATACCAATAAAACTGAAGGACAAGTTCTCTAAGACAATTGAGAGACCATTTTTGCTTTATGGGTTAGAATGATAGGCGATTAAAAAACAACATACCCATTTTAATCAACATACCCATAAAATGAGTGTAGCTTAGATGAAGATGTTTTAATAGCCATTTTGCCCAAGGAAATCGCTGTATAGTATGCTCCCACATAAGAGAAGCATATAAGGATCAAAGAACTCAGGATTTAAAATTTTATTTGAAAATCATCACACTCTAAGCAAATCCCAAAATTTGTATATCAATAAGAAAACTTTCCAAGTAAATCCTAGCATTATTTCAAACATTTAATCGAAGCCGAAATTTAGAAGTCCGAAATATCGGACCCAAAACTAAAACAACGAAACCGAAATTGCCCAAAATCAACTGAAACTGAAACTTACAGTTTTGAAATGAGCAGCTCATCGAAACCCAGGATAACGTTGTACACTTGGTTTTGCTGAGAGAGAGAGATGAAGCAGGGCCTTGTATGGAAACCCTCCTCTCTCTCTCTACCCCCCATTTCTTCCAAATGGACCTGCAACTCTACTTCCTCTCCTTCCTCTCTCTCTCTAGATGGAAACCCAACTTCCCTCTCTCTAAAAACCTCATCTAATGGCGATATTTTATCTGCGAAAGAGAGGAGGCAGCTGAGGAACCAGAGGAGAGAGAGCAAAACAAGTAATTGGAGAGAGGAAATAGAGGAGGCTCTCTCTAAAAAGACCAAGAAGAAGAAGAAACCTTCTTGGACTGAAGAGCTAAACCTTGATAACCTCTCTCTATTGGGGCCTCAATGGTGGATGGTTAGGATCGCTAGGGTTTCAGACGTGGATGCAGCTGAGCCTCTTGCTCGTTCCCTTGTTAGGAATTTCCCCAATCTTGAGTTCCAGGTTTTTTTTTTTTTTATCTGAAATATTATGATTAAAATTTGCAAGGTTTCAATTGAGTATCTAATTCTTTGATTTTGTGTTCAAATTTTGGGCTATTATCTGGTTCTTGAATTTGTGGTTGAACTTTAGGTCATTATCTATTACTCATAGGATCCACAGACTCCACGTCCGCAAATACCCTAAAGCATCTATTAATTTCAACATTTTTGTGAATTATCAATGAATTTCTTCTTAAAATGGTATAAATTGTTGAAGTTTATGTCTTATTTCAGTTCTGTCTTATAGATATATCGATATTAATCCCAACTGCGTGGGAATTGATTTTTTGGTACTTCTAACATTTTTCTGAATTATTGGTATTTTTCAAATTTATTTCTATCTTATTTTTCCATTTATCCATTAAAAAGAAACTGATAGAGAAAAAGTGGCCTCTCGTACTAGTTGATAATTGATTGCCCCAGGATTTAATTGTGCAACACCATTTTCGCTTTGCATTTGTTTTATTCTACGTGTTATTTTTATTCTTCTGTAAAACTCAATGTATAGTTCTGTTTTTCTTTTTGGCTAAGCATGTATGGGTATTCTCCTTGATAAGTGACTGATAATTTGATGTAAAACTTGAGTTTGGTATCCTTTATCTTACTGGGAGCTGTTATATAATGCACAATGAGAGATGATTGATAACCCAAATTTGCTCATATGCTTTAATAAAATAAAATGTGGAACAAAAACCAAAAGGAACACAACTGAATATAAAATTATTTGAGCATAAGTTTACTAACACCCCACAAACTAGTTAGTAGGAGGGAAGAGAGAGAGAGAGAGAGAGAGAGAGAGAGAGAGAGAGAGAGAGAGT